TTGCCCGGTATTGTTATTTTGTAATTACGTTATATGTATAAATTATTTTCATTTTTCTTCCTGAAATACCAACATTTTGACATCAATGTATATTTTGATCCATCTGATGATGCAGTTTTTTTAAATATTAAATTATTAATGTTTTTTATCAGTTACTCGGTACTTGAGTAGTCTTTTTTTTTTTTTTTTTTTTTTTTTTTTTTTTTACCAAATATTCTTTTTACTTTTCTTTGAGTAAAAAAATAAGTTGAAATAGTGCTAGTCTTACTCAAGTGCAATTTTTTGGCGACTTTACCCACCTCTGTATCTGACCTTTAACAAACAAACAACTCATGAACGAGCGCTCACCTTTATTTTCATTTGGGTCGGCTTTGGAAATACTGTCTTGACAGGCATGTGATCAATCAGGCGACTGCAGCTCATCCAAAATATGGCCGCCGGAGACCCGACCAAGGAACATTCACATTTTGCACATTCTTACACATCCATTCTCAACTGCTTCTAAAAACAGAACAAGATCTTAAAAAAACACCCAACTATCTTTTGGAAATAACTTAATATTTGTTGGTGTCTGGAGAATGCGTCCTTTCAAAAACCTTCCGATTGTTAAGTCACTCTGCGCCATTACCTAGCAACAGCAGTGAAGTCCAGGCTGTTACCTAGCAACTTAAATGGAGCTCCAGCCCGTTTCGGTCAGCTGGTTTTACTGCTGTATGAATTGTATGAACAATGGCTGCTGGAAAAGACAAGTGTTTTGTTGTTGACTTACCATCCAGAAAGCACTTGTTGATTGTGCAGGAGGCTCCACTTCTGCTTTTCAAAGAAATACGGTTGTATAATTTCGTATCTGTCCGCAGCCATTTTCTTTGCAAGTGTAAATGTTGAGTTGGAGGTGAGGGGGTGTGGCCAGTGGCAGGTATTTGGATTTAAAGTGACAGAGGCCCTAAAACACCTGAAAGGATCTCACAACAGGCAAAACTGAGCAGACTAACGATTTTGTGCAAAAAAAAAAAACTGGAATGTACATGTTTTTATTGGTCATTGGGACAGTCTATAAGTAAATGCCATACCATACTACTACTGTGACAACAGGAGGTAAAAGTCATGCCTGTGTTTCAGGGTAACAGGAACAGATAATATCTCCAGAGTTTGTGGCAGCAAATAAAAACCAAACAGCTGTGGTTTCTTAAGAAACTATCTCTCAAAGAGTGCAGGACCAAACATCAACCTCAGTTTTCTGTTTGTTGGCGCTGCTGCCTCAGACCACGGCGTCTGATATCTGGAATTCCAGAAGTAAGGAGTCTTAGTCTTGATCGCTTGCTTAGTTCAGGTAGCTCTGGAAGGGATCGCGACAAGGCGGCTAAGTAACATCATGGACAGTCACCTGCAAGCTTTGCGGTGTTCCTTATATCCACATGTGGTCAATTGTGAAAGAATTATTCAGTAGAACATTGAACAGGAAGCCCAGTCTGCGACAGCTGTGGCCAGAGTCATGAGTCAGGCCAGCATGACGTCCGCCGGTTGCATTAGTTTCTTTGCTTAGTGCAACAGTGGAATTCCAGGTTTCTTGTCATCTGTTTTCCTTTTTTTCCCCATTTCCTTTTATCTGGTAAAATTATATTCCATCATTTAAAATGAAAAAATATTCAAGCAGCCAATATTTTATACCTTTTTATTTCTGCTGCTTCTATTATTAGAAAACAAGGAAATATCTGTGACTGAACAGGCCTCCCTGAAATGTCTGCTATGTGCCTGCCTGCCACAGCCTGTCACTGCTAAGCTTAAGATTCTGCCAGTAACAACAACAACAACAAAAAAAGATAATGTGTGTGCATATGAATTATCCACACACATCAATTTTTTGATAACATAAAAAACCCACATAAAAACTATAGTTTTTAATACATAATCTTTAGACTTTATGCAAAGGTAAGTTCAGTTTTGGCTGCTTGTATCTGACCACAGAAGACTATTTTACTATGGATGTTTAAAAGGGAAATATTATCTGTTTTCCAGGCACTTAGTATCATTTTATAGCACAATCAAGTAATTATTTTATCTCCACTTGTTACAGAAATGTTGTCTATATCAAATATAAAGTTTGAGATTGTAATTTAACACTCTGTCGCTTTAAAACTCCTGCTCCTTCTGACACTCCGCCTACAGGAAGTCATCACAACATGGCTGTTAACCCTTTAATAATGTTTTTCTCAGCATTGAACTGAAAAGTCCCTGCTGGCTAGTCTGAAGGAGTAACGGTAGTTCATTGCATATTTATGAACTCATCGTTGGAAGGTTGAGCAGGCACTCTTTTCATGCTAGCAGCATTAAAACTCCCTCCACTTTGACCAGCTCCTTCACTGAGATGCACTGAAACTCCCTCTGTGACAAGTCAGACATTGTCATCCCCAGAAGCCTTTCCTGTGAACACCACATCCACAGCTTCACAAGAACTGCTGTCTTACAATAAAAAATGTTGCTCATTTCCTCCCATCTCCTGCCTTCTCCGCTGCTCAAATTCTCATCCATGCCTTCATCACCTCCAGACTTTATTACCGACATGACGTTTTTGTGCATAATAAGCCAAGGTCAACAATAAACACCAACACATCCTGAGCTCAGATGCTCGCCGGGTTTCCCACATCGGCTCTCTTGACCACATCACCTCCAGTTTTTCAGAAGCCGCCCCGACTTCCTGCCCCTCAACGTGTCCACGTCAAAGTTCTTACCCACAATGCCCTCCATGAGCAGGCTACCTCACCGACCTGCTCCACGTCAAAGTCGAAGCGAAGAGACCGGACCTTCTCCAAAGTTGCTGAGTCAATATTTTCTGGAATCAACTCGTTGCTGCGGTTGCTTTTCCTCCAGCTTCGCTCTGACGATTTTCCGCAGACTTCTTTGTAAAATAGCTGAAGGTCAGTCAGCGTCTCGGCACAGATTTTCTAATGAACTCATACGTGTTCTTTAATCGTTCCACTGAGTCATATGAGGTTACTTCAATCTAGAACCTTCCACTGCAGCTCTGGTCGTGTGTTTAGGGTTGTTGTCCTGCTGGAAGGTGAACCTCCAGCCGGGTCGAAAGTCTTTAGCAGGAAGAAACGGGTTTTCTTCCAGGTTTTGCCATGGACTCTGACTGGTTTCTTTGTCTCTGCTGAAGTAAAGCCTCCCCACAGCATGACCCTGTCACCACCATGTTTCACTGCAGAGCTGGTGTGTTCAGAGTGAGATAGAGCGTTAGGCCTTATGGAACCACATGCTGTTTGTAATAATCACACAGACTGTCTGTGTTGCTAGTCCCGTGCGAAACATTATAACATGCAGCAGAGCTCAAAAAACAAAAACAACTGTACATACTACTGTCTCTTTAAGTGCAGATTTTTCTCCCAGGATGTACTGCAGATTGATGATATCACACACGCACTCTGCCTGTTGGATCACTGACTTTAAACCAAACGTTATCTTTATAAGCAAACAGAAACTTGTCACATTCCAGTTCCACAGGAAAATCATGAAGCTGAGTTTCATTTAAATGAACCATATTCTTCCACTATCATACATATGCAGAAATTATTTGTTTATTTATTTATTTTTTTAAATGATCAAAGACGTTCTCATCCATGAAGATTTCTGAGTAATGTTGTGACCAGGCTGTGTTCCCATCCTGTCACAACTCAGCTGTTGTATTTCAAAAGAGCCGGAGGCCCAGACAGGGAAATTTTATTTTATTTTTTCCGCCAGCTTGAATGGAAAAATATTTGATTAAAGCATGTAGAAAACATCCCAGTGACTTATGTGAAAACCCCCCCCCCAAAAAAAAATAGGTGAAACGGCATCAGTTTATCAGTAAAGCAGCTGGAGGCAAAGTCTCCTGTCAAAACAAATAACAGGAGTCCGGCTTTAAGCCTCCGCTTCAGCAAAGTTTTAACAAGTAGCAGACGTTACGCACAAATGTTTTTGCAATAAAATAATTTAACTGAACTAATAATAATAAATATGTCATTTACTAGGACAAAAAGAAAGACATATTCAAAACAACCTAACCACTGTGTGCCTTGCAAACTGGTTTTGCCAGCTTTGGTGCCAACAAAGGCAATTTGCCTTTCTTCTTTCTTCTTTGTAGAACTGTTTAATTTTAGCAACCCTGAAGGCTTTTCCTGCCACCTGTACTGGCAGCAGCAGCTAGCACAGGTGGACGGCTCCGTCCAAAATATCCACAGTATCGATACCAAGTCAATATCGGATCAATGCGAGCCGAGTAATATCGATACCTTGGTTTCAGATTACCCCCTTAAAGTTTTGTTTCATTTTTGTATTGTAGATTCTCAACTCTACCTAAAAAGAAAAAATGCTTTGATCTTTTTTTTTTATCCCACTTTATTTAGGAAGAAGTGCAGAAACATTTGTTCTGTTTTGCTCTTGCTTTGGATAAAGGTTTATCCAAATGTGCCCGTCCTAGGTTTTAACAAAAACAGTTCAATGGAAAAACTTCAAAAACACATAAAGGTCAGAGGTTTGGTGAAATATCAAACTTAAATGATTAAAAAGTATCGGTATCGGTCCTGATTTACTTGGTACACCAAAATATTCAGTATCGCCCACCTCTACGTCTCAGCTGCACATCAATAACTATACAGTTATTCGTCGGGAGTAAAAAAACAACAAAACAACAAAAATAAAACATCTCATTGGACTCACTAAAAGCAAATAAAGTTACCAATTTGATCAATGATTGCTGCATCAAAAAAATGAAAAGCAAGCAAAAACCAGCAGGTTTAATAAGAAAGTACACTCTGCTAAAGCCATGAAAAATAAACAGCCTTCCAGAATGAAAAGCAGAGAAGACAGAAGAATATTGTAGACTGAATACAGCAAGAACATTTACTGTTTTAATTTTATTATTAGAACAGAATATAATACAAATAATTATTAAAACGAAGGAAAGCAAAAAATAAATAAATAAAGTAGTTACATAAAAATCATTAAAGTTGCTAAATGTGGCATTGAGAACTGGCCCAAGGCATGCAAATTAAGCAGCTGATTAGGGCCCCCCTCCACCAGGGGGCCCCCAAGAGCACCAAGCTCTATGTATGCATAACTAAATGCTTTTACACAAGAAAAACTATTTTTATATTATTTTTAATGTTGTTACACAAATAATGGGTCAATATCTCCCTGCTGTTGGCTGCTGCCACTGCTGGGGAAATATAACATATCAAACTTGTTTTCTGTACATTTAGTGTTTATCAGGTGAGGTTCTGTTAAAATTAGACGGCACACTTAGATAACTCGCTGCATTTTTAAATCCAATTTATTTCATATTTTCTACTCCTCTAAAGTCATCATAACACTTAATGTAAGCTAATTACAAATGTCGCTAATGATAACAGGCATGTTACACACATAGAGTAATCTATAGGAACTATGAATAATCTGGGGTTGATATGTTGGTTTTGGGGACCCCAAATGAAAATCTACTCCGGGCCCCAAAAAGACTTGGGCCGGCCCTGGTGGTGTTAGAAAAAGAAAACGAGTTTTTGTTTGGGAAATAAAATCTAAAAGTGTTTTAATTGGGACTAAATCAGACTCTAAATGAACCTCTACCTACCCGCCCCGCTGGGGCTTTTCCCCCCGGATATTTTCTGCACAGATTAATGTCGCAGAGATTAAAGCAGCTCTGATTTCTTCTCTTAATCCATCTGCTTCCATCCCCGCTGCGTCGCCGCAATCCAGCCTCAGTCTCTGAGACCGAGTGTGTCATCAGGGGTGTGGACGCTGCAGAGAGGCGTGGGCCGCGTCACATCTCCGCCATAAAGAGCCCGCTTCACCTGCAGCAGCAGCAGCAGCAGCAGCGGCACTCAGGTCGACCCGGTTCGCGGTCTGTTTCGCTTCCATCGCCAAGATCCCCTGTGATTGGCTGAGCGCTCTCCCTTTAGCCAACCCCTCCGCCCCTCCACTTGCAGACGCGCAGGGACTCTTCGCTGACTCTTGTTTCCTTCCTGCGCTCTGAGTCTGGGAGCACGTCCCCGGGGCTGAATCGCAGAAGCAGAGAGCAGACGGAGCCGCGCACCATGGCAGCTACGCACAGCAGCGAGTACCGGGCTTACCTGCGGAACGCCATGGACATCGAGGCCGGGCAGCAGCGCTTCCCGCCGGTGCCGAGCTCGGAGCCGACCTACCGATCGCTGTTCATCGGGACCCTGGCTGTTATGGGAATACTTCAGGTGGCCTCCAGCGTCGCGATCTTATTGCACCTGACCGGTTACCTGCACGAGGTAGGCGCAATGAAGCGTCGCGCTTGGCGATTGCGATCGGTGCTCTGCAAAAGAAAAAGAAAAAGAGAGAAAAAGAGAGAGGGAGAGAGAGAGGAACAAAACATTCCTCGAAACTTTTGTGAACGAGCGAGTTCAGATAGTCCGACAACAAAAACCTGGGCTATTTGCGCAATAACTCCCCAGAGAGCCATAAAGTGAGAGATACGCTGAGCTCGGGCTTTATGAAGCAGGCGGCGTGTTCTCTCAGAAGTGAAGCAACCCGCTGCTGTGCAAGGAGTCCAGGCGGCGTAAAACAAAGTGCAGTTTATGTTTGGTGCGTCTCTCTGCACGCGCACACCGAGTTGCCCGATAGCGTCGCGCGCGAGCCGCTCAAAGCGAACCGGGAGAGATGCGTGTTCGCCCGAGTTGTCTCCCCGCCGCTGCGCTCAGATGACATCTCAAGCAGGCGTCCTGCGTCTCCTCGCCTTGTTTGCAGATTGCAGATGTTTTCACTTGAGCCTGTCGTTTCTCATGCGCGTGTTTACATGCCATCAGCGGCTTCCAATTGCCATTTATGAGTCATGAGTTGTAAACTTTGAAGGATGCAGAGCTGTTTTTTCCAGAGAGGTCTGGCCGAGTTCAAGTGCCTTTTTTTTTTAATTTTTTAATTTTAGTTTTTTTTAACACCGTTGCTCGTGTAAGGAATGCAGAGTCCTTTGGCTCGGCTGTCTCTTTCTAGCTACACGGCGGTCTTGCTGTTGTATAATTGTCATGTCAGAACAAGCGAAGAGAGCAGACCGCATGTCCGCTCTGTCAGGATCCTCAGAGTTCACCTGGGGAGCGTCTGTTGCCCCCAGCCTCACCCTGACAAATTGGTTCCAGTGTTCTGATGGGCTATGTGGGTAAAAATGTGGGTATCTGGGGGGGGAGGGGGGTAGAGTCTTTAAAAAAAAAAAGGAGAGATGGGAGAAAGAGGAGGATGAAAGTTTAGGAAGGTGTTTTGTGATGCAGGATTGAACTGAGTTTGGCACCGCTTGTCATTTGTTCGGAGCTCAGAAGCAGACCTCCATGTTTCCTGGACACCTGCAGAGCTTTCCTGACGGTGGGTGATCAGAGTGGAGCCGTCTCTTTAAGACGGGATGAGCTGGTCTGAGTTGGTCTCAAACGGGACTCTCCGACTCTGACTGGAACGTTGTTTCTGTATGGATTTGATTTTGCTTGTTGCAGTGGAAAGCAGAGAAACATGTGGAAAATAACTTAACCTCCCCCTCACACAAACACACGCAAAGCTTTTTGACAGCCCTGCTGGAGATTGTCTTCTTCTGACACCTTTCTGTCGGAGAGGCCCTCACAGTTCTAACCTGCCCCCCCCCCTCTCTCTCTCTCTGCAGGTGGACCTGTCACCGTCTTCCCGTCCTTCCCTGGAGATGGAGGTGAGTCAGGCTAACTTCCTCTAACATGTTTCCCTTTTGGCTAACATCTATCACATGTTACTCTGTTACAAACACAAACTTCAAGATATTTTCACTTGACTCTCGTAGGATTGTAAGTGACTGGGTAAACTGCGAAGTCATGAATAAAATCCAATCACGTGTGTATGCCTGTGTGTGATTTAAGACATTCTGTTTCTGGCCTCAGAGGTTCTGTAGAGAACAAAGTGCTGTGGAGACGGAGGGTCACGGCAGACGGGTCAGGGAGGGTGTGGTGGGGAAGCTAAAAGCGAGGTTAGGTCAGAAAACTGTGAACATCTCACAGAACTCTGTTCAGTCCATCATCTGATCACGGAGAGAGGACGGACCGACTAAGACATGACCTTCCAACCTAAACCTAAAGATTGGGGAAAGAGAGTGTTGATCAGAGAAGCAGACAAGATGGCAACTGTGGAGGAGCTGCAGTAATCCACAGCTCAACTGGTTGATTCGGTTGACAGGACAACTTTTTGTTGTACATTTAAGTTCTGTGGAAGCTGTTTTTGAAAGAAAGTCATATTTGGGTCCATTTACGGTTTGTGGAAGTCCATCTCTCAAAGAACAACAAGGTTGCCTCAATCGGATGGTTTAGATCAAAGTTGTTCATTAGCTACAATGGCCTAGACCAGAAGTGTAAAGTCCAGAAGTTAATAATTTTTTGAAGGGCCACTTCATAATCCGTGTTATTGATGGTTTCTGTTGGGTGTGGTTATTTCCATTTTATGTATTGTTTTTGTTTGGCTGTTTAACACATCTTCCAGGTCCAGTTTTGGTCTAACTTGCATAAGTTTCCCATTTCTTGAGAATGGTCTCAGAACAACAATATTACCGTTAATCGCAGTAATTACTGGGACAGTTCATTGTTCAGCAAAATTTGTGATGGTCACAGGCTTATCCATAGAAAACTATGTAGCTCTGCTCTGTTTTTCCACATTGGCTTTTCACATGGAAGTCCAGTAAAATACATTGGTGTTCATAATTGCACTGCGTCACATATGCAGATGCCTGCCGATGTTCTACTATAAATGTTCCTGGAACAACAGCTGGGATCTTGAAATGCCTCCAGTATCAGTTTCTGAGCCAAGCACAACCTCCCAAAGGCGGATTTAGCGCCGACAATGATTTCAAGCACACCAGGTATTTTTTCTTGTCACCATCGAAGGAGGAAGTAGAGCGTATTTATTCACGCTGGTGTGTTTTTAAGGGAGTCGAATTAGCATCAGCAATTTTTTGGAGTCATGATTTTCCCACGGGTGTATTTCCTGTGAAGCCAAGCACAAAACCCCCAGCTGGTTGTGCAGGGCTGGAGCGAGGTCAGACCGCAGGAACACAAACACCTCCAGAGACAATAAAAAAAGGGCTTCTCACTTCAGATTTCTTTTTTTTTTCCTCAACTTCGACTCCGTCGACTTTCATTTTGCTGTGCGCTGGACAGTAAGTTTGCAGCCCTCTTGCTGGCTGGCGTCAGCGGTTGCAGTGTTTCCTTGGAAGTCATTTCGAGCATCACGTGTTGAATTCTTAATTGTTGAAGTCATTTTTTTCCTCCTTTTTTCAAACTCTTGGAAGCTGCTGCCCTTTCTTGGCATGGGCTTCTACCAACCCAAAGCAAAGCCCATCGAGAAAGCGAAACAACTTAAAATGATCTTTGCTTTCTAGCGTTTCTTTCCATGATGCTTTAAGTTCCCATGAAATTCCATGCTTGTTTGGCCTGGGTTATCCCTGGTAAGGACTAGGGTTAAAGGTTAGTGGGTTAGGAGTACGGTGAGAGTTAGGGTCCTAGTGGAGTCCTGAGGTGAACCACCTGCCCTGTATTGGACTGAGGAACTCTGTTTTTGTTTTTCCCAAACAGTACAGGAAGAGATTGTTCTGGGCTTTACGATGCGTCAGGTTGACACTTGACCCTCACCACGTTGAGCTAGGGGTCAGCGCCGGAGCCGCGCAGGGATTTTGTTTGACAGCGGTGCCTCCGAGGACGGCCGTCGGCTGGAGGGAGACAGGATACGCAGGCCTGTGGTCGGTGGTGAGAACGCAGGGCCGTGAATCAGCCGCAGCTCATGATCTGACTGTTCATAATGTGCAGAGATCTGTGGAAGAAGTCCGCTGCGTTGTGGAACACAAAAAGAGACGGTCCGCTTTGGTGGCCGAGCTCTTGAGTGAGAGGACTTTTGTTCTTGAGCTGGATCTCAGAAACCACTCGTCAACATAATAGACATGTTGAGTGATGTATGTGGTGAGCAGTTAAAAGGCTGAGCTGAAGTCTGCGTGCACTGCGGTGATCCAGGACGAAGCATGTGCGACCAAGTCAGCCGTAGCCGGGCGCAGTCTCCCGGAGAGAGGGTTCCTCTTCTACTCGCCAGGGAAAAGAACAGTGCCTTGCAAAGAGTGTTCATACTGCTGGAGCCCGTTTTACTTTGAGTCAAATTACAACCATCAACGTGTTTCGTTTGGGATCTTATGTGAGAGACTAACGCAAAGATGCGTACAATTGTGAAATGCTACACGCTCTTCAAAACTCAGGGGCGGCATAAAGACATGGCCATCAGAAGGAACTCTGGAGGAGCTGGAGAGAGGAGCAGCTCAGGCATTTCCTGCGTATTCCAAACAATAATTTGTTCACTATGTGTTGGGCATTCCAGGAATCTGGTATTAGCAAAACCAAGCAAACATCAACAAAAGAAAAGTAAAACTTCTTTTGAGAGAAAGCAGAGCTGGGCAGTGTGTCATGGATGTAGCTAAATGCTAAAAGTCAGCCGGAGCTGCAATGGGAGGGGAAATGTTCACATGTTAGAATGACCCAGTCAAAGTCCACCTCAGTGTAATGGAGAAATAATGTTCGTAGATAATGAGCTATTTTGGAAAAAACAGAAGGTGCAAACATTTTGGTCTGTAGCTGTGCACCGGCTGCACCTCTGATTGGCCACCCTAACTAGAGCTTTCAACCACTTTCTTCGTGTAGCGCACATAGATATCAGCATTTCAGATTCAGACTGAAGACCGATTTATATAGGATACAAAATAGTCCCCCCTCCCTCTTTCTTAGCTTCAGATTTTGGTATGCTGTTTGTTGCTGTCTGAGACAGCAGGGAATTCAGATAAAATTGTAATTTCAGTATGCCACCCTTCTAGACACGCCCCCCGCCTGTAGCTGCAGTGAATGGAGCTTCTACCAAACAGTAACTCAAGCCGACTATATACAAATGCATGCCACACTCTTCGCTTGTTCAAACAATATCCTATAAAGTACACTGAGGTTTGCAGTTGCAGCTTTAGAAAATGTGAATTCTTGAGCAAGGCACTATATATTTGTTACCTCACCACAAATTAGGACGGATCCTACAATTAAGGTTCCAAGGAGAAGCAGCTATTCCTTAACCTTGGCTGGATTCTTCAGCCCGTCACATTCCAAGACGCCGCTCTGTAAAAATGTTTGTGTAGCAAATTGTTTTTGGATGACAGCGCTAATCTTAAGCTGAACTCCGTGCAGTTTGTGTGGACTTGTGAACAAAATGCTAAGAGCAACATTAACTCATTGCATTGTTGCAAAACCCATGTTAACAGTGTTTCTTTGAGCTGTTTTTGGACTGGCTGACTGTGTGTGGTTTCCAAGTGCTTAAAAAGCACTAATCCTTTCATCTACACTTTCCATTCCATCCCATTTTTTCAATAATGACTGAGTTATGGTGAGATAACAGTGCCAGGATTCCTGAAATTACTGGTTTGAAGGAAACTACCCTCAGCCCATAAAACAAGTTTAAACATCTTTAGGGATGTAATAACAGCCCAATCTGTCAATCACTCCAAATTCTGCACATGGATTTTGCTTCTGCAAATCTCTGCAAATGTGAAGAAATGCATCGAAGCGGGAGACCGTTAGGAATCTCTTCTCGCTTGCGCTCGCGGTCTCTTGGGTAAACTCAATCATGTAGGTAGAAGCAGAAAACAACACTTCAGCCTGATGTGTTAATCTCTTGCCAGAAGTGTAGGAGACTTGGCAGCTCCGGCGCTGTAAGTGTTTACTCGCATGGAAACCATGTTTTTGTCGAGTGTATATGCTCGGTCTTGCCTGAAGACAACCCGGCTCAGTCCAAATACGGTTTATGCCAAATCTGGGAGACGCTCAGCCACTCTGAGAAGTTCCCCTCGCCACGGGGGCCTCCAGCTGTAAATACGACCATGGACATAGAAGGGACTTAGCGGAGGGACGATGATATACACAGACATGTAGTCCATAGACGCCCCTGTGCTTAACGTCTGCGCATACTCCCACTCAGAACCATTACAAGCAGCCTGTCATTTAGAGTGAAAGCAGAGCTAAGCTGTGGTAGGTTATGTCCAAATCTTTTTGTTGCTTAAGGAAAAGGCTTCTTGTAATTGCAGGTCTCCAAATTACAAACTTCAATTGTAATCAAACACACGCAAAAGGACGCGCACACACGCAAAGCAGGCGGCTGCCGATGGGTTTTGACCTTTTGGTTTACGAGTTGATGTTTGCTGAACTAGCCTTTGTTTTTCTCCACAGAGTGAACCAGTGGTGCATGCCCTGAAAGACCCGAGAAAAAAAGGCAGGTGCAAACTTCCCAAAGACGCCACAACTCCGTCCGCCCATCTACCAATCAGAGCACCTCAGGAGTTCACTAAGAGTGAGTCAAGCCGATGTAACATGTCTCCTTAGGCCTTTTGTAGTAAATCTGCAGTCTGGAAGCTTTGTCTCCCCCCGCTGGCGCTGCCGATAAATACACAAACATTATCCATGTGTGGTGATGTCGTTAGGGTGGCTTTAGGAACACAGTCAAACCCAAAACGGATACCAACTCCTCCAAGAGCTTAAGCATGACGTCTGTTGGTAGTAAAAGAACATCCTCTTCTGTTGAATATCTCCAAAGAGATAAACTAGATTCTTACTTATCCATCCACATGTTCTCGTTATTCCATCTGGTTGGGTTTTGTTACACTATATTCATACCACAAAACATGTCTATTTCCCATTCGGACCTTTAGAAGGTTTTTCTACTCAGTTACTACAGAGTATATTTGCTCTTTCATTTGGGGGAGTATGGTGACTGTACTAGCTGCTGGAAGAACCTATCCTGACAATAAATTTCAGATGCTCACATTCTACATCTTTATGAATCCACACTGGAAACGGCGTCCATTTGACAACAAATCTGGACTGGCAGAAGTGGAAACTTATAGTTTTAGTAAAGACGACAGAAATAATTTGTGTCCCCATTTGATTCTTGTTCCAACTTGGAGCATCCGCAAACCGAGTCCTAAACATCCATAAAATGTTCTAGTTTATGGCTGTGCATTAGCTGATCGTGGTATAATTCAATGACTTGTGCATTTACCGTGCATTTAATGTTAAGTTAAAAGATAACTTAACATTAAATGTTACTTTTAGGAAAGTAAACAATTAAATTTATAGTTGGTTGAATTTGGTTTTGGTTTTTCTTTATTCTGACTTTGGTACTTGGCAGTAAATCTTATGGTGGTGATAAGATATTGAGAAAAGATTGTGCAGTCAGTTCAATCCCAACTCACTTGGAGACGTCAGAGTGTGGTTTAGGATGGGACGGCCTGCCTGCAGTGCTGAAATCAACCCCATTGAACACTTATGGGGTCAGCTTGTGGGGCGTGATGTTCGTGCCCAAGTGGCCAGAGCACTTAAATCAAGTGTGTTGAAAATGAAAAGTGACATGACATCAGTCACTGAGGCCCAGAGCTGAGGGTCGAGACAGTTTTGTTCTCTTTTTTTTCTTTTCCTTTCAATAGCTTCCCAATGATTTTCCAATCTTATGAAGTGCTTTCATCCACGCGTTTACTTTAGCAATTTTCCTCCGACTGTCAACTGTTCTCTGGTTTTTGTTTTTACTGAGAAGTTAAAATTTGCGAGTTCCAGGAAAAAAAAGCATCTGGAACTCTCCGTGAGTGTAGAACACCAATTTGGAGGATCTACTCCAATCCGACATCCAATATGGCTGCCATCCTCGTAAACAGAGTGAAAATTATTGTTTGTACATCGTCAAATCACGAGCTGGATTGCAGGCTAGTGAGGCAGTTTAGCCATTTATTTCAAGTGTGTAGAACAAGAGTCACATGTAAAAGCTGCAGGACATTTGGCCTTCAGGAATGCAGTTTGAGATCACTTTAGGTCAATGAGAACAGCCCTCCTTCCTTGGTAACTTGCGTGGCATAAGCAGACATATTTCATAAAACATTGCTGAGATGCTCATGGAGAAGATTGACTTGTTCACTATTAACTGTAGCTGTGTTTCCATCACAGATGTGCACAAGTCCTTGTCGATATTCTGCTAATGTCAAGAAAATATAATTTTGCAGTTGCAGTGTTTTCATTATAAAAGAAATTTAATTAAAATCACACATTAATAAGTTTGTTAAAAAGTCTACTCAAAAAGTCTTTAAAAATCATGTAACTGTAAACAGTTACTTGAAATATATTCATAACTCATCCATGGTGCTAGAACTCATCATCAGCCAATCAGAGGAGTTGTCAGTGTCTTATTCAGGCTTTGGAGTGACAAGCCCCGCCTACTTCGGAGTGGTGTTTTGGGGAAATTGTAGTCAATGATTTTACTTTAGAGCTATGGATTCAACACATTTGAATGACACAACATTTTTGCGAACTTTGTGATGCTGTGGTATAAAAAAAAACAAACCATCATCCTCCTACCACTTCCTGTCGTCGTCTTCTTCATTTCTGCCAGTAGTAACATCCAGGCGCTGATCACGTTGATCAGGATCACTGATCCTGAAAAGGTGTTTCTGTTGCAGTTTTGTGAAATACATCAAATTCAACATGACCAAAAAAACCTCCTCACCCTAGCGCAAAAACTTTTTTTTATCAAAAAATGTGTTTTTTCAAAATCTACATTTCTACTAGGCAAATTTATTTTCAGAATTTCACAGCTAAATTTTACAGTTAACAGAAACGCAGCTACTGAAACATTTTTTTGTTTTTTTGCAGTTTATTATTTGCGCTTTGGCCTCGATCACGTGGTCCGACGTCAACTCCACGTTTCTCACTTCGATTTTCTCAAAACTAAACCACATAATCCATCAACACATGTTTGCTACCAACAACCAAAGATTCTGGTTTGAATGTAAACTTCTCTGACTCTTTTTTTTTGTGTGTGTGTTCTTGTCATCTCGCAGAGGACTACAGCATGATTAACATCAAGTGGGACGATCAGCACGGAAACCTCCACAAAATGAGCTACGACGACGGAAACCTGCTGGTGAGGGAATCGGGCCTCTACTACGTCTACGTGAAAACCTGCTTCCGCTACTACAACATCGGCGGTCCAGACGAGGGCCGTGAGGCCAGGACGCGTCCTCCGGACGTGAGCAAGGCCCAGCTCATCCAGTACGTCTACCATAAGAGCATCAAACAGAACAGCAGGAAGGTGTTGCTGATGAAGACGGGAAGCACCAAGCAGTGGAACAACACGAGTTACAACATGTACTGCGCCCAGCAGAGCCGAGTGGTCAACCTGGTGGAGGGAGACGCCTTGTTTGTCGAAGTATCCAACGCTTGGCTGCTGGACCAGGAGGCGGAAGGGACGTATTTTGGGGCTGTAAAGTGGGGTAACTGAAACTTTGTCACCGGCGGAGCAAAATGCTACTGAACATTTTTCTAACCGATGGAACCACTTTTAGGGGATTAGTGATGTTGAATTGTCGAACCAGTTTGGTTTATGTTTTACGCCACCACGTGTGTTTGGTTGTACGCCACATTGCCTTTCATCCAACAGCCCTGGAGACTTTCATCAGGTGAACTAAAAGAGAAAGAAAGGGAAAAAAAAGGAGGGGTTAAAAACGAAACCTTTTTACTTTTTCACAGAGATTCTTGATTAAACATTTACCAGCACTGGAATTTTAAAGGACGTTTTTAGTGTGTTGAGATTTGCATGCCAATGGATTTTTGGCTTAGAGTCCCACATAGAGTCAGCATCTGTACATGTTGTAGTAATGCAAACAATAAGGGAGCAACAAAGGAAGTGAGCTTTCGAGGCAGAAAGGATTTTTCGGTGCTCACTGTTGGGCTCTCTACCCCAGGGACACTGGGGTAGAGAGTTATCAGTGTCTCAGACACAGCAGTGAGCGCATGAATGTTTTCCTAAAAGTTTTAGGTGGTTTGAAAAAGGCATCCTCACATTAATTCACATTGGTTCAATTGGAAATGAGCAGTCAGGTGATGATATTCTTATGTTGTGCTTACATTCTCAACGTTGGAATGAAAGCCTTAAAAGGTTAGGCCACAGCATTGAAGTGAGGTTCTTTACAGTAATTATCAGTAATGTTTCTCTCGTCTGTTATGTTTAACTCTGAACTTGTTGGAAAAATAAGTGCGTCCTCTAAGTGGTGGAAGCTAATAAGTCAGATACACATGGTATCAATCGCGGGTTCCCAGCTGACTGTGAGTCTGCTGGGGTAATTGTGAAACTATGAGACCTGGAAAATATGTTAGCATGCCATGTTTGCACAGCTAATGCAAAAATCAGAACTGAAGAGGCGAATGTGGTGGATTCATACAACCGGCCGGGTCAACCGAGGTGACTCCAATAAGGAGTTCAGGTTGTTCAGTTGGACAAGAAACAACAACAGACCCAACACCTGCGTCTGTCCTGCTGAATGTTTTCAGCTTGAGCTGATTTAAATGTCTATGTTAGCTAAAACAGATTGACTAGCTTGTTGGCTTCCACCACTGCAGGGTGGGGCTGGATGATATCAGTTGATATCAATGATTATTTATATATATATATATTTTTTGTTTTAAATATCTGAAATGTTGCCAAACTGGTGGTGTGACCTTTCCTGTTTTATCCACAGTTTTAACACCTTAACCTGCTGCTGCACAAGTTACTCAACAGGTTGTTGCTAGGTAACCAAAGAGCGAGTCAGTTAGTTTATACCACCCACTGGTCGAGCATTGAAAGCCTTGTCCTCTGCCTACATCCCCCAGAATGCTGTTTGGTTCGGGATCGGAGTTCAGTGTATGTTCTATATATTGGATATTCTATCAGACGTATTATCTATTGATATTGATCACGTGTCCATCACAATATATTTTGCTATTGATTTTATTGTCCAGCCCTAACGAAGGGATTTAGTTACTTTCCATCAAACTCGCGGCGCTATGACAACCGTCTGCTGTAGGTAAGAGTATTGTTACTGATAATAACTTCACACGCCTTACCTCAAAAGATCCAAACCCAACCTGAACAAAACCAATGTGTCCTCCAAAAGACTCATCCAGTTTTCTAATGTTGCCATCAACTGCAATAACCTGACAATGTCATTGAAACCAAAGAGGAAATGACACCTGCTTGTTTTAATTGTGACAACCAAGAAGCGATGAAGATAGCTGGACTGTCTGACTGTAAAAGGACATGAATGGACTTGTTTGTCCTTAACAAGGGGAACCAAACTGAGTTTGGTTCAGCTTTTAACTTAAATTTAAATTTTTCATTTAACTCTAACTCGAGGTAAATGGGAATATGCATTTAATATTTATTTATTAGCTATAGAGGTACAGGGACAGGTCATCGTTAAAGTGATCTATCGACTGTAAAATCATGTACATTTTGTTTTTGTCTGACATTCATTATGCAGCACTTAAAGTTAACATTAGACACGTTTTATTTGTAAAACACAGGGGCTTTATTTCAAATTATATATTTATGTATCTTGATTTTTATTTTTTTTAATTTTTTTGACAATTCTGTGTACGTACCTACCCAAAAAAGCAACATGGATTTATTATTGTTCTTCAAGACTGTAGCATACCTGTAAGAGCTTCATTGATTGTTTTTCCACATCCCGTTTTATTATTTATGTTTGTGTAAATTTTAATAAAATCCTGCTTTTGTAGCGCTGGTTTAAGTGTGCGGTTTTTGCAACGATTGAACCACACAGGAAGATGGAGACATTGCAGAAATATTTAGAGCCATTGATTTTTTTTTCTTTCATATTCTTTTTAGCCACAAACATTTGTGTATTTTATTGGAATTTCATGTGGTAGACACGATGATGATGATAGTTTGGTTGCTATATATATATATATATATATATATATATATATATATATATATATATATATATATATATATATATATATATATATAGTTTTATTTCATTGTGATGTTTTTGTTTATCTAATTCAGTTAGCTTTATTTAGTTTGGTAATTTTTATTACTTCATAGTTAAATGTTGATTAGCTTTACTTTAGTTTTTGTCAGGTATAATGGTTTTACTGTTTTCATACTTTGGTTCAGTTTTAGGGGCAGAATTCAAAAAGGTCTGGGAATTGTAATGTTATTGTAATACACCAGTTGGGTAATGAATAATCAACAGAAAATACAGTTTTCACAAAAAATGGATTCAATTATCGTTGAACAACCAGCTGACTTGGGGCTTCTTCCAACATCTGATGCAAACTATGTAATCTATAATTCTTGTATGTTTTAGTTTTATAAACGCACAATATAGTTCCAGTTAGTTTCCCCCGCACTAATTAACTATTTAGTTTTATTTACTTCAAAAATGTGTTTTTTTTAAGTTAAGATAATGAAACAAGATGGGTTGAGGTTGTAATTCCCGCGCTGCAGCCTGTTGGTGAGAGCGCTGTGATTAGCTGCTCTGTAATCTCTGAGTGAAATTTCTGCTGTATTCCAGCCAAACGAGTGAAGTCACGCTGTTCCTTCGCTTCCCTGCCCCTCTCTGGTCAGAGCAAGTCCACCAGTTCATAACAGAGATACAAGTTGTGTGGAGAGAAGCCGCCCACTGCTGCTGCAGCCCCGGCCCGCTAACTCGCAGCAGACATTTGGACTGGTGCAAAAAAGGAGAAAAAAAAAAAAAAGAGCAAATGGGAATGGGAATAATGATAGGATAAATAGGATTTTATTAGTTCACTGTGATGTGTGTGAGCTGTTAGGATCGCTCAGTCCCTCAGAGAGAAATATTAGAACCAACAAGCCCTCTGTTGTCCTCTCCTGGGTGTTCACCAGGATATGGTCGGAAGACGGTTTGGGCTTGGAAATATGACATAAATATGACAATTTTTCAGATCAGACGGCCGAAGGAAGCAGCAACAGAAATGCAGGAAATAGGTGACTTTTGAACAAGGTTTTTTTTTTCTTTTTTCTTTTTAAGTATCTGAGAGTTTTGCAAGAGAAACAATTGAGCTGCGGTGTCCATAGGGCTACTCTGTTTCAGACTTACATAGCTTGGACTAGGAGTATAAACAATGGACTTTAGTGCGCCACTGTTTTTATGTGACTTGATTTCTCAATTGTTGGCACTCAGCAGAAACCATTAAAATGTGTTGTGTCAGTAAACATTATGGAAAGCTTGGCGTCCACTGGAAACCCACCCAAACACACACACACACACACACACACACACACACACACACACACTGAAACAAATAGACCCAAGAGTCAAGCCTCAGCAGACAATATGTACTCGAAACATTAGTCTGGCTTTCCACAGTGTATTAGTGACAGAATCTATGGCAGATGGCAAATTTATGGTTTTCTGCAGGGCATGGTCCAATGCAAATCATGAATATTAAAATGCTGAAAAACCTCTCTACTCTTCCCGATGTGGGTGGTCATCCTTTAAATCCGAGTGCTCCAACAGAACAAGCATGAAGTCAGATCTCAGATCTGGATCTGCTGAGGCAACATGTAAGGACACACACACACAGAGAGAGAGAAAGAGAGAGAGAGAGAGAGAGAGAGAGAGAGAGAGATCCGTTGGTGTTTATCCGAGTTATCCACCAGGCTGTTTTAAAATGCATTTTAGGATCTAAGGAATGTTTTTGGGCTGAGAACATAGTTAATGACAACATCAGTGACAGAAGGTTTTCCCAGTCTCTGACCACTGAGCTCAAACAAGTGAGTCCTGCAGCGGTTCAGATGTTGTTCTGGGTTTTTTTGTGAGGCGGATGACTCAATCCAATACAACACAGTCCAGACTAATACATGCCAATGACAAGAGATCTCATCTGTTTTCCAATTTCCTTAAGACCGAGGCACTATGTGTCTCTTTTTAATCACTTAGGCTGCTTCGTGTTGACAGACATGAAGCATTGCGGTGATTTTTTATTTTTAAGGACTCAGGCCTGGATGTGGCCAGTAGAAGTGTTTAATCACAGTTAATTTGTAAATAAATGTAAGGGATGATTATAGAGGAAGACTGATTTGTAGACATTTGTTGCCATAATAAGTGAAATTTTCATTGAAATGTTATGTTTTGTATCTATTCAGGTTATCTTGGTTTAAGTTTAGTGCTTTTGAGATGTTTATGCCTTCAAGACATGCCTGTAACCTACCTAGCAGATTGGATTCATCAGGACTAGTAGAGTAGATATTGCTGACTATCATCAGCATAACAGTGTACATTTGTCTGGGATGATTTTTTTCCCCAATAGGAAGCATATAGTAAAACAAACTGGGTCCAAGCACAGAGCTTATGTAAGTAGTGTGAGGCAGATTTATCGCTTACATGAACAAATGGGCAGGACTTACACCAGGCTGGTGCTGCTCCCTTCAGACCTGCAAGCCTTTCTAAGAGAACCTGATGGTCAACTGCATCAAAAGCAGCAAACCAGCACAGACAAAAGTCCATTATTTGAGGTTAAGAGAATATAATTTGCAAATTTCAGAACTGCTGATTTAGTGCTATGATGAACTGAAATCCGATTGGATCATCACGTTTCAAGGACTTTGGATCACAAAGGTAGAAAAGACATTGGTCTTAAGTAAAGGTTTAATTACAGCTACCTTTACT